TTGTTGAACAGGCTGCACAAGCTCTTTCCAGTAAACTCTGCTTGGTCCGTACTGAGTTCCCTGCTCACTTCTGTGACACTGAGATGGAGAACCTGGCATTCTAGGTCCCTAACACCTCCTTCCCTCGCCCACATAAAAGGCCCTTCCTTCTGCACATCTGCCCTTCCCCAGAGCTCGCCTCCCACCTGTTCTCAGTCACCGGCTTTGCTCCACACGCTGCCTGCGGGTCCCCTGAGCGAGCCATGCGCTGGCTACTCTCCGCCGTGAACGCCGAGCCGACTCCAAACGGTCCTTCCAAGAGCCGCTCAGGCATCTGCTCCTCCCAGCTAGTCTCCCCTCTACCGGACAGCATGACCTACACACACACTGCAATGTTCAAGTCAACCTCTCCTAGTTCTTAAATGGCACAAGTTTCTTCTGTTCCTGACTCCTGTTCCTTAACCAGTGGGTGACATAGAGTAAATGTCTGACACTTGTTGGTTCAATTCCTAAACAAATTCTTGCAGGTGGGGTGCTCAGGTGGGCGGGTGCACAGGTGGGATGGGTTACACAGGTGGCGGGACTCTAGGCCTAGTGCGTCCCCGGCCCCGAGCCGCACTCCCGACCTTCCCGGCTTCCGGCCTCCCTCATCCGCCAGTCCTCCCTGTCCACTTTTCCTCTCGCTCCCACCCAAACGACTCTCACCTCCGTCCCAGACTCCGCCCTGTGGAAGTCACTACACATCGCCCCGGATGCTCGGCGAACCAGACACTCAACTTTCCCGCCACCAGCGCCATTTACGGCGGCGCCAGTCAGGCGCGTTGACCTGTTGACCCGGACGCGAACGTGCGCGCTGCGCCCGCCCTCGGCCGGGAGGAAGTGGGCATGCGCAGAAGGCGGGCGTGCGCAGAAGTGGGCATGCGCAGAAGGCGGGTGTGCGCAGAAGTGGGCATGCGCAGGAGGCGGAGCTGTACGTGCGCAAGGCATGCGCAGGAGGCGGGGCTGTACGTGCGCAAGAGAGCGTGGGGTCAGGGCGTCAGACACCATTGCGCGAGACACCATTACGACGGAGACCGAGGCGCGGCCGGTGACTACTTTCTTAAACTTCATTTCGTTTTAACTAGGTAAAATTAACAGCGTGTACTTATTATTTTTTACTACTAACAAACCATTTACCGAGTAAACAGGCATTTTTGGTCTATTCTTGGTTAAAAGCCTCCAGCTGTCTGCGTATGTGATTCGTAGTGAATTCTGAGAAAAAAGGACGCTAAATTTAAAAGAACTTTAAAAATATAGCGGGCCTGCATATTTATCCAGTTCTTTCGGAGATAGAATTTTATTACTATTGGTTACCAAGTGTTTATTCGTTAAGATAGACATTAAGTAGATAGACACATAGACGGATATGGAGTATTTCGTGCACGTGAGGCCTTGCGCCGCGTTCGGGGAATACAACATTGTAAGAGCCGTGCCTGAACGGAGTTTACAACCATTTGATATACCGGAATGTGTTTTTACTTTACAACGGCTGTATCGGTTGTCTTATTCTTATATTTGTAGGTGTGTAATTAAAAAATAATGTTTAGGCCCTAGCCGGCTTGGCTCATGGCGCGGCCTGCGGACGGAAGGTCCGGGTTGGCTTCCGGTCTAGGGCGTGTTGCTTACTAATCCTGTTACAACTATTTACAATATTGGACATTACTTATCTTTTTTTTTTTTTCAAATTTTATTTTTTATTACAAAGGGTATTACATATGTGTCCATTTTTTTCCCCGCCCTAGACAGTCCCCTAGCCTCCCCTATTCCCCAGTGTCTTATGAATAAAAAGATATTTTTAAAAAAGAAAAAGAATGGGTGCAGATGCAGCTGTTTGGGGGTAGGTAGCTCAGAAAGGCTGAGGAGGTTTTAATCTGAGGGCTTATCTTTTTTTTCTCCAAAGAAGAAAGCAAGATAGTAGAATTCCAAGACTTAAGTTAAAGCCAAGTAATCTGTAGGAATGTTACCCATCTATAGGATCTGCTAAACTTTTTTCTTAAAAATGATTCTTGATCCATTCTAGTACATGGAACAGTGGGTTTCATAAAACTATAGAGCAGTGGTTCTCAACTTTGTTGCCCTTTAAATACAGTTCCTCATGTTGTGACCCAACCATAAAATTATTTTCATTCCTACTTCATAACTAATGTTGCTACTGTTATGAATCGTAATGTAAATATCTGATATGCAGGATGGTCTTAGGCGACCCCTGTGAAAGGGTCGTTTGACCGCCAAAGGGGTCGAGACCCACAGGACGAGAACCGCTGTTATAAAGTATGGCAGTAATTATTTTAATTAAGGATATTTTCCTGCAGCACTCATTGTCTGTAATCACATTTAATACTTAGCATATATTAGCACTCTTTTTCTCAATGCACAGACCTTTTTTCCCCTGAGTTACAGTCTTCTTGAAATCCAAGATGAATTTTCTGAACTCACCTTGGATTTTGATGTCAAATGCAGCTAGAATTTTCAACCTGGTTCTGTTACTTACCACCATGGTACATGTTATTTTATCACCCTGGACCTTAGTTAACAAAGTGCTATAATGGCTAAATGGAAAAAATGTACTAAGACAGCTAGCACAACACCTAGCACAAAATATGGATACCCTTTCTAATTTCCTTTATTTCTTAGATCATCACTTAAAAGTGCCAAAGATTCAATATCTACTCAGTATATATCTCCTGTTTACTATAATGGCAGTGAGTAGGGCCAGATTAAGAGATGAGCCCATCAGGTAGTTATCCAGGGTGGCTAACCATAAAGGGTGCTAAAACTTCTCTACATACTAAAATATTCTGAGAATATGAGATGGGGAAAAAACTGTTTATTGCAATTCCTTCCAAGGAGAATATGGTTAGGAAGGAAAAGCCATTGGAAAGAGGGGAAAGGTCAGTGGGTTGTGATGGAAGGCAGAGTGGACAAGCTGGCACAGTCCCACCATCAACACTCAATCTTCCTTCTCCCCACCCACTCCCACACATAGAAGCAGAATTCTGAATCTAAAATATATTATTTCCTCCCCAAGCAAGTCCATAAATGTTAATCCAATTCTGATGGTATTGATGATGGTGATGGCTTAAGCTAAAATCCTTTTAGAACTGGGTAGGGTCCTTCCTGGATTTCCTGTCTTAGAAAAGTGAAGTCTTTTTTGTTTGTTTGTTTTTGTTAATAACACAAGGTGTCAGTTGTTTGTATAGTAAACAAAGCAAAGTCATGCCTCTACTGCCCATTATAAAAGATTTGGGTTTCCTGAGCTGAAGTTTCCCCTGGGGTAATGCCACCCACTTCACCTGCAAGCGTTCCCTTACTCTTTTCCCATTGCCCTGTGGTTGCAGGGACTCCAGTAACCAGTGCAAGGAAATACTGCTGTTCTGGATGTTGCTATTGCTATGAGTAAGGCTAACTTGTCCACTTGCAGGCTCTTTACAGTTCTTGATAACCCACACTAAACAGTCTATAACAGGATAAATTAAACATTTTGCGTGAACAAAGCAGAAGCTCCGAGAAGCATAAGATGTGACTGTAATTGAGACAGACAGGAAGGCTTTTTTTTTTAAATTGTGGCAAAATAGATGTATGTGCCTCTTATTCTGACCTAAAAACTTTTTATGCCTTGTTAAAATTTCTTGATAATGGTTTGGATCTAAATTTTATAAGTTGAACTAGAAATGTAAAGCTGGTAACAATAATGTCCTGGGATTCTAAAAGGATTTTTGTTTGCAAGTCACAAAACATCCAGCTCTTACTGATTTAAGTAATAAATGGAATTTATTGGGTCAGACAGCTGGAAGTTCAGAGGTACGACAGCTTAAAGGTTAGTTTAATTGAGAGGATCAATTATACAGGTACCTAGTTTCTTTTTTCTTTAGACAGCTTCTTCTTTTTTACTGTTGCCCTCATGGGACTATGAGTCCATACTTGAAACATTAAACAATCCGGGAATAACTGGGCTGGTTGGCTGAAGCCTGAGCCACATTCTCAACCTTAGGCACAGGGGTTGATGTATGTTTTTTCAAAGGTTATAGGCTTTGTGGAAAGGAGTGGATCACAGGAAATGACAGTGAGAACAACAAAATAAGAGTAGTTGGGGGGAGTGGGGTAGATGCTGGGGAGGCAACCTTACTTCATTATAGCTTCCACAATGAGGATCTGTATATGCCAAGCCACATATCTAGGTCACCCTCCTCTTCCATGCCATGCACTTCTATACAAAGTAAATCTTTCCTCACATATAAAGAATCAATCTCTTAGGAAGCAGGCTTTACAGTTGAATAGTTGCTCTGTACTAAATGAGTTTCTCGGTCCTCACCCTGTTCCTAATGAAGATTATGTGCTGATGGAACTAGTCCAGTCTTTAGGCATACCTGTTTCAATGGGCCATCTTGCACAACATGGTTTTGAAAGTTTTAATACTCTAGAGCAGGGGTCCTCAAATTACGGCCCGCAGGCCACATGCAAATACAAATACTGTATTTGTTCCCATTTTGTTTTTTTACTTCAAAATAAGATATGTGCAGTGTGCATAGGAATTTGTTCATAGTTTTTTTTTTTTTTTTTTTATGCATATC